CCCCAAAACCCCAAAACCCCGTCTTGCAATTAAATTGTATTTTTTAAAAAACTTAAAATTAGTAATAAAAATAATAATTTTATGGAGATTCAAGACTAATTTGAACAGATCAAAAATCAGATTAACATAAAGCTTTAATCATTAGCCTAATAAACTAAAAGGGTAAATACATTAGAATATTTTTACAAAGTATAAGAGTTATGGGCCTGAAGACTAGCAATCTTCACCAATGAAGAAAGAATTGAAAATGTATGAAGCAGGGTTAATGGAAAGGAAAGAGCATGATGAGATAAAAAACATAAATTAAGACTTGGCTAAAATGCTGCAGAGTAAAGACATACAAAAAGCCAATATAGGCATTAGCAGTTTTATTAAATCTGAAGAAACTTTAAATAAAAAGGATTAAGGCTTAGGTAATCCACTTTTGCACAAATTGAGCTAGCAGATAAGTTAAAACACTAACAATCAAGTTAATGAGGAATTGCATAAGCTCTATGATAAAGTAAAACTCTTAGAAAAATAGTCTGTCGAAATTTTTATGAATGATAGTAAAAAACGAGAACTTGCTAAACATAAAAAGCAATTAAAAGAGATGCTGAAAAATGAAAAATGGTAGTACCGCGAATAAATTTCATCACTGTAACACTAGTAAACTATCTTGGATAAATAAGCTTAGAAATCTGAAACAGTGATTTTGAGAAGATAGAGTAATATAGCTAAAAGAGAATTTAGCAAACTTGAACTTCTTGCTAAGCAAATACAAAATGAAAAATCATTAGCAAAAATTTAAAATTAGCATCAAACTTAGAATAATGATGTAGTAAGTAATCTTTAAGCTTTGAAATCTCGGTTTATTGCAGATATAGCTGTTAGTAAAATTCAAAATAACTTGGTAAAGTTACAATAAATTGATTAGCCTAAATAATATTAAAACAAAACATAGAAAAGAGATATTAAAATATAGAATACTTATCAGCCATAGATAGTTGCTGATGAAGAAAAGAATAAGATATCTCTCGAAGAGTAATCTAGGAGTCAGGTAAAACTGCTTGAGCTCGTTAATTAGAACTAAATCAAACCACTTTACAAAGACTTCAAAGTTGATAAGTACAAATTTCATAACCCCGCACTTGTAAAAGCAGATCTTAGAAGTTCAGTACATCTAGACATTTCTTTCGCTAGAGGATATCATTACAGTTATGAAAATATCATGGACTTAGAATTCTTAAGAATATTCAATAGCATAAATTCAACTCCAAATATGATTGAAGATGATATAGATACCACTTTAAACATTGAGTGAAAGTTTGAATATATTGCAAACTCTAAGGATAATCAAAAAAAATCTCCAAACGAATCAGGTATTATTTTCATGGAATACAGTAATAATGATGGACATCATATAATGAGATAGAGACTTGTAAGAGATTTCACTAGCATTGAAAGAATGGGCGCATTGAGTAGTAAATAAATAATGACAAGATAAGGTTTCAAAGTTTCTGGAGTGGGAGGAATAATAGAAAATCCAGCTAATAGAGGAAGTAAGTAACTTTTTGATTTTCAAATAAGAGAAAGTAGTATATCAACTCAAGCAATAAAGTCTGATGATAATGATCCTATCATAAGATTAAAACCTAAAGTTCATAAATATGATAAAAAGGGAAGGTATATACACTTACTAAAAAAGCATAACAGAGAAGATATTTAGTTCATTAGAGTAACAAAAGAATTCCTTATATTTGATGAAGATGTCTAATTCAACACAGTATCATAAAATAACATAAACTTCTATGATAACTTAGATTCATCTTTGATTTCAAGGTAAGGAGGAAACTTGTCTCCTAGAGAAGGTGGAGCTATTGTGCATACTGGTAGCTAAAGCAAACTTAAAGCTCCACACTAAAATGCTTAAGATACATTCGATGAAGATTCGAGCTTTAGAGAAAATAAGGACTAAAGCTATGCTGAGGTGACTGTAAGCCAGCCAAACTAAGCAGCAAATCGAGAGAGCTCTCACCTATTTGAAAATACTAGATTTTATGAAGAGCCATTAGACGAAGAGAGCTATGATCATGAATTAATAGAGGAACTATTCAATCCAAAGAAAAAAGTTAGGATAGTAAAGTAAGAACATGCAAAATCTATTAATTACTTATCAAGAATGACTACTGACGGCTATGAAAAAACTGAAACAATGAATTCAAACAATAATATCATGAATTCAAGAAGACTTGGCAGATAATAAAACAGAGATTCTTCTCCACTAGACACTCATTTTAATGATGATGTGGATAGAAAAAAATCAAGACATAGATCAAGTAAAAGGAAAATAGATCTTAGCAATATTATTGAGTATTTTGATCCTATCCAAAAAAAGAAAGCACTAAGTAAAAAGACGATGTCAAATAAAAAGAAAGATAAGGGTTCAACTTAAAAGCATGGGGTTATTAATAAAAGAGTACCTGCTGACAATTCAACATAAGAGGAACATGGGCAGATTAATTTTTATGGAAATGTAAACAAACAGAGATTCAAATACAATTAATTTCATCTAAGATGGGTAGTTTTACGAGGCTTTAATCTTTACTGGTATAGAAGTGCTCTCGATCGTTAACAGAAAGGAATGATTACTCTTCCAAGTACCCCTATTTAACTTTGTAAAGTTGGATAAAATGTAAGATCTTATCAATTTTAGACCTTATTTAGAAATGCTTTTAAATTATGAAAGAGGATGGTGCATCTTAAAGCAGAACTTTGAAATTTTTAGACAATGAGTAAAACTCAGAATTTAAATGCAAAATTTCTAACTCTATATACTACAAGATGTATCTAGAGAGCTCGCAGAGAAAGAATCAGAAACTTGATATAAACATAGTCTTTTTCTTTAACAACTAAAATATGAATATTCTTGAGTTCAAAGATAAGAATCTCAATGAAGAACATAAGATTTTGCATATATTTGAGGCCATGAGTGCCCATCATAGATTAATGAGTTTATCCCTTATTAATTGCGGTCTTAGTGATGATTCACTAGATTTACTTTTATTCAAACTCAGGTCATATCCTAATTAAATTTATCATCTAGACCTAAGCTAAAATGATTTCACCTAGCACTCGATGCCTTCTCTATGCTAAGTAAGAATCTCTATATTTTATGCTGAATTTAGTATCTAAAGCATGAAAATGCATTAAAGCTCAATTCACTTGTCTTAAATAGAAATACTTTGTATGACGCCGGCATTTAATAATTATCAGTAGGATTATTTGAGAGATATTAACTTCTGGAAAACAGATCTAGTCCTCTAGCTAAAATTTAGCTTCCTATTCAATATCTTGGACTTTAAGATACGAAATTTTCAGACAATGTAAGTTATGATACAATAATAATTATATTAGGGATTTAAGTATTTCTTATAAAGATTTGAAGCAATATATTTGAGAAATTTATCAACAACTAGAGATTATGATAATCACATAGATTTAGATATTTCTAAAAATTCCTTGACTGAAACATCATTAAAATATCTAGCAGATATTTTGAAAAAGTTTCAGGGATTCAAGTCAATTAATATGAGGGAGCTCAGTAAAATGAAAGACATTGGGTATATTGAAATGTTCAGAGCTTTTAAAGATAATTATTCGCTGATTTCTATTGATCTTAGCAAAAACAGCCTATCTGCTACAGTAATTGGAGAATTACTACAAGCTATTGCTGAGAATTTTGTGATTAGTGAGGTGATTATTGATATCAAAGGTAAATCTCTACCCAGTGGATTCTCAACTAATACACTCATGAGTATGTTTCAAGTATATATTAGCAGAGAGGCAGTTTATCTATGAATTTATTTTCTTATTCTAATCTATTTTGATTTATACATGTATTAAGGGGTTTTGGGGTTTTGGGGTTTTGGGGTTTTGGGG